GCCAACATGACATCAGCGATTAGTTAGTAAAGTCCCAGCCAATGTGAAAACTTGTGGATGAGACCAAATACTGATGGCTGTTAATCACAAGGTATACCTTCCTAAAGCTCAGCTTGCTTTATCATCCTTTTTGAGTCCAACGACGACCATAATTTACATCAAAGACATCTTAAACTCATCAGTAAAGTGTTTATTGATGTGAGCAGGAGGGGAATTTCACAGTTTTATACAGTCAGACTTTAAACCGGAGGAGTCACCCTCTGCTGCCGTGAAAACAGTGGCTTCACTCAGACCAGAAAGCTACACCTGCCTACAGTACCTGGTTAACATGCCAACTTTATATTTGAAGCTTTATTGCACATAGAGTTGTGTTTTTTCTGTAACTCACCTATTTAAATTGTATTTTAGGTATAAAAATAGCATTTTGCTTCACCTCATCTAATTTCAGTCCCAGTCGTGTTTGTGCACTTATCTGCTTAATATGGCTTGATTTGTACTAACACACCGTCTAAACTCCAGTTGTGGAGAGTGAAATTCCAGTGTTATGAGCAGTGCTGCACTTATAGATTCACTTTGCTAATAAAGCGAACGAGTAAGCATTGGCTGATTTTTAGACCTCCAGCCTCTTGTCAAAAGTGTGTCACCGAAGAAAACAACGGGCAGAATGCCAGATGCGAGGCTTTAAGACATTAGTCCACATACAATGTGTGACTATGATTAAGTTCATCTTTTATATACAGTAATAGTCAGTAAAGCAAAGTAACAAAGGCCTTGAAAACAGACAGCTGTTTGTTCATCTTTAGCAGTGAATAAGAACAACGGATAACTTGTTAAGATGGAGAATCATTAGGTTGTATTGACTGACTTCTGTTGTCATTAAAGCACATGCGTCCCCTTGAAGTGTCCGTGAACATGAAAGCCCTTCTCTCTCTGCTTGCTGTTTTTTTATTTGAAGCTGAACATGATGTCCCTGTGCTGGAAGTGATGCAGTGGGCCTTTGTGTGAGCCGAGCTTTAGACAAAAGAGACAGGATGAGAGAGGGTAGAAAATGTTTCTTTCCCTCCTTTTTGTCCTCAGTACACTTTTGGAAAATTTTATCTCTGTTGAAGTTTTGTGTTGCTCAGAGTCCTTCAGGTCTTCGTCGCCTCTCCTCTCTTTCTTCCTCTCTCCCTTAACCTCCAGTTTATCGGTCCTCCTCTCATACTCTATCCCCTTTCTCGCTTTCATCTCCTTCTCCCTGTTTGTCTCTCTTTGTCTCTTCTCTCACTGATAGCCTGGCTGTAACTCAAACTAGTGTGTTATTGATGACTTACCCCGTGTTTCTGACTTCTGGTGCCCTGGCTTCAGTCCTATTCTTGAATCAAACCCTGTCTTTCACAGACACACACACACACACACACACACA